ATTTTACTCTATAATACTGAAAACGAAAAAGCAGTAGAAAAGTTCGAGTGTATCTATTATACGTACAATGATGGAGAGGAAATATCTTATTGTCGACGTCCAGGTGGAAGTCACCAGTTGGATCGAAATAGAACGCAGTGTGATAACGAAGGCGAGAAGATATTTCTGCATAATCTACTCGATCAAAGAATTGATCCAAGCAACATTCTTGACTGGAGTTCAAATGTTGAAATGGCCGATACCTATGCTAGTCTTTTCTACAATCGATCATTTATTAACGATGATAATGATCGATTTGTGTGCAACTGCACTCAGCAGGAAACATTCGGCAAATATTGTGAATATCAATTGACGCATGGAGTGAAAACATTCAGTAAAGCAATCAGAGCTCAATTTCAACAGAAGAAAATCGGTGATTCATGGGATACTCAACGATATGGAAAGATACTCTGCTATAAGACACTACCTTGTCACTCGAGCCCTCTCTGCCTGGATTGGAGAGAGATTTGTGATGGTGTTCAGAGATGTTTGAATGGTATCGATGAAGAAAATTGGAACAAATTAGAATTTAATGAATGCGATGATGATGAATTTCGGTGTACAAATGGCATGTGTATTGCGGAAGAATTTTGGCTTGATGGTAAGTGTCCTCGATTCTGACAGAACTTCTATTCTTACATTGATTATATGCATAGGTGATTATGATTGTATGGATTGGAGCGATGAATATTATCGTAATCAAGGGATCTTGTGTCCATTCGAACCGAAAGCAATGGAATGTGATGAACATCTATGTAATACTTACAGTTATTCATGCGGCGATGGACAATGTGTTTTATGGGAAACTCGAATGGCATTTCAACGAATTGCAAAAGCAGAGGATGATTGTTTTAACAAGCGCAATCTGAACTACATGTGTGAGGTCAGTCCACATCGACCTGCTTGGACACTTGAAAATGGATTATGTTGGCCAGACGAAGGCTATGATGATCCTCGATATCCTTCATGGGGCATGATTAATGCATCAAATCTCACTAATGACGAAAAATGCCACTATCTATTTCTGTGTGTTTTGTCGCAAGGCTTCGAACATGATTGTCCATGCAATCTTCAAAATTGTACACAGTTGATCATGAACATGTGTTCCATAGGTGAGTATCTTGCTGTCTATCCGCCAAGAGGATTAATCAACCCAAATGATTTCATCTTGTACAACTACAGTCAATCTCCGGAAAGTCCAAATTTTCAATATTTCACAGTTACGGGAAATGTGAGATGTCGAGGATACTTTTTTTACACTAAAACTCCTTTTGCACTCAGAACCCACATTACAATGTTTCGAACTCCCAGAATCAACCATGAACTTTGTACCTTTGATAAATGGGATAAAGGATATCGAGATTTTCTGTCACCTCTTCAATATGATAAAAACTGTTGGAATGAATCTTTAACCTTTAATGGTCGCCCATATGCTGTCAAACCTAACATATGTAACTATGCAGGAGAATGTATATCACAATATCGAATTCGTGATGGAGTTCTCAACTGTCATGGTACTACTGATGATGAAGATATGATTTTTGAAGAGAATTATTGTACAGGAAATGTTGGACAACAACGTTTTCAGTGTTTTAACGATGAACACAAATGTCTTCCATTAAATCGCTTGGGCACAGGCCGTGCTGATTGTTTGAACAGCTATGATGAAAGTTGGTATGGTATTGGTAGTTCTCTTCGATATCAGGCCATATGTTTTAAAGAATTAACCACTGATTGCCACCATGTGAAAGAATACATTCATCAATCGTCTACTAGCAATTCGAGCAACCATATTTTGATCGCTAATCCTCAACGACAAGGATCAACAAATCGTATACGCTTTCGATCGTATTGTGATAGTATCTCGGATTTAATTGAACATGTTGATGAGATGTCTTCCTCATGTCAACATTGGATATGTACCAATGATCAATATCAATGTCGATCAGGGCAATGTATTGACCTTGATTGGGTATGTGATGGTGAATGGGACTGTTTAGATGCTTCGGATGAAGAAGCCATTGTACTCATTGGAAATCAGTCAGATCACAATAATCTTTTAACAAAGTTATCCATTCATCTTGAAAAATGTCGCAAACGATATTCAAAATTACCATTTTCGAATATTTGTAATACATCATTTGAATTTGGTTGTTATCGATCTGGAGTATTGAATCCATTAGATATTGAAGCAAATCGTCCATGTATAAATCTGACTCAGATTGGAGATGGTGTAGAAGATTGTTATAATGCCTACGATGAAAAGAATACGTTCAGAGCCAATTCATTCGTGGGCGGTATGTGGGGTTACCATTTTCGTTGTGGAAATAAACATCTGACCTATTCAGAAGCTTGCGATGCGATGAATAACTGCACCGAGATTCTTTGTTCCAAATATCGAGATAAGCATGGAACGTGTTCCGATATGCGAGATTTCATTTGTCTCAAGGACGATCATTGTAAAAGGAATGCACGGTGCAATGGAAGATTTGACTGTCTCTATGGGGAAGATGAATATTGGTGTCCTTCAGGACCTCTCATAAATCATTTACAATATCGCTTTGACAAAATACAAATCGTACGCTCTCGCATTGAATCTCTTCCCCTATCAAGGTACCCACATGAAGGTACGTTGGAGGCCAATGAACAACAGGTATTGAAGGTGAACAATACCCTTGACATTGATCAGTTTTTTAAAATTCATTCGTATCAATGTAATCGAGGTATTGCTGTTCTTCAAATGAATGAAACTCAATGTCTTTGCCCACCTGCTTATTATGGTCACTGGTGTGAATTCTTCAGTGATAGAATTAGTATTATTGTACATCTCGATCAGAAAAAATTGCCGAACATCTTATCGAACATCACATTCAAAATAAAAGTCAATTTTCTTTTCAATAGTCGAATAATCGATCATCATGACTTCAATGTTTTTTCAATATTTGAAAGAGCCAAGATCATCAAACATAAATTCTACCTTCTCTATTCGCGTTCTAGTCAAATGCTTGCACATAAGCGATGGCGATATTTCAATCGAAATGATGTTGTCAATAATCATCCATATTCTGTTCAATTCAATATGTTTACTTTCGAGACGAACAACACCAGCATAGAAGAAATTGGTTCTTGGTATTATCCAATTTATTTCGATTACCTACCTGCATTTCGTTTAGCTGTTGTATTGAGAATTCCGTCTTGGTTTCGAAATACAACACTTGATCCTTGTTGGCAAAATACTTGCAATGAAAATTCCACTTGTATGCCAGTTTTCAACCAAAACAATTCTTCCTATTGTTCATGCAAAAGGGGTTATTATGGGACCAATTGTAGTATGTATGAATCTCGTTGTGATACGTACTGTTCGACCAATGCATTGTGCCAAGTCGATGATGACCAACCTTATTGCATCTGCCCACTAGGCCATTTTGGGCCACGTTGCAATTTAAAATACGACGCATGCAATTCGAATCCATGTTTCCACAACGGAACTTGTTATCTCAGCTATGATCGAAGTGGCGAAAGACCCTACATGTGCAACTGTTCACAACGATTCTATGGATATCGATGTCAATATGAGAAAACATCCGTTCGGATAGATTTGAAAATGAAACATGAATCACCTGTTCGTGCGGCTGTTGTTCAACTTTACGACTATGATATGTATGCTTTCCTGCTGATTATCAAGTACCAACAAGCCTATCATGAGTTACCTTCAATAATCAGTTACTACGATTCTAGCACCTATGCACCTATACTTGGAGTTCTCAAAATCTATAAAGATTTATCAGATCCACAATATTTCATCATGTATTTTTTAAGTCAAACTGTGATCAACATCACCTCAATTCCCCAGCACTGCCCGCGTGCTTTGTCCCTCGCACATCTAGGTAAGGTTTTCGACAAATAATTATATTCATATGATTTGGATGTTTGCTCTTAGGAACTGACTCTTCTATTCCAGTTGTGTTTAAATATCATCAGATCTGTCGAAATGATCCTCAACGTTTCTGTTTTTACGATGAAAACTATCTCTGCCTTTGTCAATCAAACAATTATCGCGTCGAATGTTTCACACATGATACTCAACTTGATCATTGTGACAAGTGTTTCTCCGGAGGAAAGTGTCTTCAAGGTGATTCAAAAAATTCCAACAATTTCATTTGTATTTGTCCCGATTGTCATCAAGGACGTCAATGTGAATTCAATTCACAATCATTTGGCTTTACTCTCGATTCACTTTTTGTCAACTTTTCAAAAGAAGTAAAGATCGTCTATGTCTCTATAGTTGGCCTACTCTTCATCATCGGATTTTTTAATAATTTCTGTTCATTTCTGACATTTAAACGGCCTACTCCTCGAAAGTTTGGTGTGGGCAACTATTTATTGATTGTCGCTTCTCTTAATCAGATTGCCTTGTTCTGTGTGCTCTTCAAGTTTATTCAAGTCACCGTAGGCATTCTTGATGTGCGATCATGTAAAGCCGTTTCCTATTTTCTTTCGGTCTTCACACGATCAATTTATTGGCTGACAAGTTGGATTACTATTGATCGTCTTCTCATGGTCCTCTTTCCGACTTCATCTTTTAAAAAGGAACCTCGTCTAGCTATCGCAATAAGTGTGGTCACAGAGATCGTTCTCTCTGCTGTGCATGTCCATGAAATAATCTATTACATTATTGTTCAACATTTGCCCACCGATTCACCTGTCTGTGTGACAAATTTTGACACTGCTTTGGTCTCAACCTACAATCGAATCTCTACTCTGATTCATTTTCTCTTTCCTTTCTCTATTCAAGTCATTTGCATCACTTCCTTGATTATTCTGATTACACGTAGTCGACTAAAGGTAGCTGGACAGAAGATGACCTTCAGTCAAGTGTTAAAGAAGCAGTTTCAAAGTCAGAAAGAACTCTATATCACACCCATGATAATTATTCGTTCTGCTCTACCTCAAGCGATTCTTACATTTAGTTTTGCCTGTAAACAATTGACTAATTTGCAGTCTCATACGTTACTGGGTGCTTATCTAGTCTCGTATGCTCCACAGGTTCTTGGCTTTATTCTTTATGTTCTGCCATCGACTAGCTACAAGCAAGAGTTTCGTGCAATATCATTCAGCAAGAAATTTTTGAAATCGATGATGAACAAGCAAAAGAGTACAATCACAAGGCCGAAAATGAAAAAATAAACATAAATGTAATTCAAAGTATTAAATCTTGCTGTATTTGTGCTTTCTACAGACTGTAATCTCAACCGAGTTTGCATCAAAAAGAAAAGTCTAACGTTTATCTTAAATAAAACAAACACTTTTCGATCACATGTTGAAAATTTTCGTTTGCCAATCATGATAGTCATCGGAACATATACAAATATATTAGAAAAGGCTTCGCTTTATTCTATCAACACTAATACCAATCGCATAAATTCTCAGATGATAGAAATATCATAATAATTTTCTTATATGCAGCAAATCTAACCTCGTATGTTAACACGTGACGTTGAATCACAAGTTTTTGAGAATTTAGGAATCATATAGGATTACATTTACTTAAAAAAACTACTATTCCTAAAAATTTAGCAAAAGTCAATAAAATGACCTTTCCTTGTCACTTTCAGATACAAAATTGTCTGTAACAACGGCAGAAATTTTAAGAGAAAAGTAAACCATAAGTACAACACTTTAGATACTAAATGTATTCAATTTATTTAATGAAAACTACGTTTATGTGTATGTTGATCACTATTCGGAACTCTATTAACTGATTTTAGTCTTATATTTTTCATCTGCTGTTCTTGAGAAAAAAAACGTCTTTTCTTTTGAAGCTTTCAAGATCTTTTTGTAATTTTGATTCTTTAGAGATTGATGCATCACATTAGAAAAGATGATAATTTAACAAATAATTTTGTAGTTCTCATCTACAAGTGTTTTGATTTTGGAGTATGTCAGCCAAGAGAAAGAAAAATTTATTTCTAGTTGAAAAAATTCTTGTCCAACTTTCTTTGTGACTTATTCATGTACGGCTACATCTGCACATTGGCACTCAAGACAGATAAAGTTTAAGCCCAGTCTAGGAGGGGACATATGTGTTACTCTTCAGTTCAACAAAATTTATTTTTCTTGCTAAAATTCTCGTCTCGACTTCATAGAAACCTTTCTAAAAGATCTTGACAGAAATTCGATTATCTGTTTTACCAGAACATTTTCTGCTCCAATTCGGATCAGATCTTGTTTTCTTAATTTCTCGATGAAAATTAAATTATGTGCTATACTCTAAGAGTATCTGTGTGTTTTCCCATCGAGTACTCAGTTAGTTGGTTCAACATTCGTATCTTTCAAGATCTAGGAAGGATCTTGAGAAAGACTCAATCAAATATACATAGATTTAGGAAAAAAGAAAACTCTCCATACTATATATCTCATCGATTCTTCCACCACATTGAATTTTTCTGCGCTCATGAGCTTGAATTAATGTGTATACGGGAAAGAACATCTGTCATTTCTAGCACTTATCTCCTGGCGAGAAAGAGAGGACCTATTGGACAACAGCGGTAACGATCCCTTTTCTGCTCTTTTTCGTTGATTTTAGTGATGTCCAATATTCCAGTCAATGCTCGGTGAACACAGAATGGAATGACTGCTACTGGAGGCCATGAACCAGGCACGTCTACCAATCGACTTTGCCATACTTGGGTGTGGGGTGTGGGTGTTGGTGTGGGTGTGAGTGTGGGTGTTGGTGTGGGTGTGGGTGTGGGTGTGGGTGTGGGTGTGCGTGTGGGTGTGGGTGTAGATGTGGGTGTGCGTGTGGGTGTAGGCATTGGAATAAACCTGAAGAATAGATACATTCAAGCTGACATCCTCATCCACACCTACGGGCACACCCACCCACCCCCGACACCCACACCCATATCTACAACCACACCCACATTCACACCCCACACTCACACACCCCATACCCACACCCACCTACACCCACGCCCACACCCACACACGCACACCCCACACCCACACACCTCATACCCACACCCACCCACCCACATCCATACCCCACACCCATGCCCACACCTACAACCATACCCACACCCCACCATTCTATAGAATTCGGGATTTTCATGGACTCCCTTTGATTCCGCTGAATTCCGCAGAATTCCAGGATTCCACTATTTACCCCATCGTTTAGTCCAGCAGTTACTCGCCGAGTTATTTATACTCAAAGATCTTTTATTTGAAGAATTTTACACTAGAAGCTCATTCTTATTAGGACATTGATACATACACTAAACTACGGATGACATATAAAAATAAGTAAATGCACATAGATACTGCTAGAAAAGAAAAAAATTCATGGCAGCCAATCTATATGAAGGCTTGTGGTTACAATACAACCAGTTACGTATACATGTATACAACGCTTTCAAGCCAATACTCAAAGTTTTTCCAAATCACAAGAAACATTCCCGATGGAAGATTAAACTTGATCGATAATGTATAGGTTTTACATAGGGCAGTCAAAAAGTGATGAGAGTGACACTGTAATTCCTTATAAAAAGCTTTAAGAAACTTTCTCTCTCTATAGTCTGATAGAGAAAAGAATGCTCTATTTTTCTATGCTATTTGATCATATTTCAGCTAATATGATAATAACAAAATTTCGATAAGACCTATTTTTCTATCATACGGGATGAATGGACGAATATCTATTTAGTGGATAGTTTCTGAATAACTTTTGATAGAAGTTAGGTAGAGAGCTGCGGTTTTCGTCGTTCGAAAGCGGAGATAAAGATGCATTGAGTCGTCTAATATACGTTTTCCTAGTATGTTGTCTGAAGTTTGTTTAATCAATTTTCTAAGTATGGAAAAATGGTTTCTTGTCACAAAAGAAACAGCAAGAAAAAACATTTTTTTTTTATAGAAATTGTCAGAAAAATCAGTTAGATCTTCGACTAGAATACCTACAACCCTTGAATGATTAATTCTGAACAATTGAAATTTGTGCAGTTTTGTAGACCTTCTACCGGCGGTTTGAATACACGCCTGACAATTGAGAATTCACTGTCAACACCTCACTGTGTAAGTTTATGTTCAAAGAGGTCTATTGAAAACGTCAAAAAAGTCATGTGTCAAAATCTATAATATACGATTCAATGCATCTTCATCTCCTCTTTCGAACGACGAAAATCGCAGCTCTCTACCTAACTTCTATCAAAAGTTATTCAGAAACTATCCACTAAATAGACATTCGTCCATTCATCCCGTATGATAGAAAAATAGGTCTTATCGAAATTTTGTTATTATCATATTAGCTGAAATATGATCAAATAGCATAGAAAAATAGAGCATTCTTTTCTCTATCAGACTATAGAGAGAGAAAGTTTCTTAAAGCTTTTTATAAGAAATCACAGTGTCACTCTCATTACTTTTTGACTGCCCTATGTATTTATTTAAAAACGACACATTAAGTCCTAAAGTAATCTACCGAATATACGCTTACACTTCTTTATGCACCTGATACTCAGGTGACATTCAGTTACGTGTTGATGTCAACTATTTTGCAAACGCCCACTCATACACTTGATTTGATCAAAGCGTTACATATGTCTGTTGTCAGAAAGCTCTTGTTTCATACAGGATCTATGGACTACAAAAGATGTCTAAGACGCTTGCACTGTTGCTGTCCATTACTCTCATTCCCACTATTATATCCTTCCTAAATTTCTCACCCACTCGAGGACAATTATACTTACTACCTCGCTATATTTCAACCATAAAACTGTGCTATTTTTTTCTCAGGAAAATGTGAGCTACAATTCGTTGAAATATGGATAAAATATTAATCAATAATCATTTCACGAAGAAATAAACTGTGTTAACTAATACAGACGCTATTCTTGAAATTCATCTCCTTTATAAGCATGCAATCAAAACTTGTTATTTCTTTCTCTTTCACAATTAGGAAGAGCATTCCTAGCGTAGCTGTGCTAAATGCAAGATTTTGGCCTGTGAAGTTGAAACATATTTTCCTAAAACGTATTGAATTTTTTTGTCACCTGACACAGCTTAATCAATCACACGATATTCCCATATTCTTTACCAAATAATAGTAATGAAATCTAATGCATTATATACAAATAATGGTGAATACTACAATATCATTAAAATAATAATAGATTGTATTGTATTGGAAACTAATCAATAGTGAAGACCAGAATATCATAGAATAAAAAGTTCAATAAAATATAATCAATAATGAGTATTAAAATATTATTGAACAATAATGCATTATAATGCATTAAAATATAGTCAACAAAGAACATTAGAATAGTATTCAATAAAATTGCATTGCAATATATTGAAACCTTAGCAACAGAAAATAAGGGAGACAAACAACAGGGAGAAAAATTTTTTTCTTAAAAACGTGATACTTTTCAAATTGTCTTTTTTAAGACAGTAAACAAGTGATTTCTGAATTCAATAGAACAGTGCCATTAAAATGAATATTGATTCTGAATTATTGAATTAGTTTAAAACAACGACTATAATACACATATAAAGTGTCGGTCGATGATTAGATTGTCAATTACTAGGATTTTGCTATCAATTGTGTCTAATTTGGTGCATTAATGAGAAGACTATTTCGATAGAATATAAAAGACCAGTTCCATCATATTCATACTTTTCATTTTTACTCTCTTGATAAAGAAAAATTCAAAGGCTTAGCGTTACTGTTACTTTGTCCATTTATATTTTTTTCTCATTCTTATTTATGTTCTTTCTTTCTTTGACATTATTTTTCTCTTTTCTTTATTATTTATTATGTTTTTTGCTGTTATAAAATAAAAAAATATATATATAACTATTCTAAAAATTACAAAATTTTTGTGCCTTGTCAAAGTTAAAGAAGTGTTGCCGATCTCTGCATCAATAGAACGTATAAATCTTTTTCCTAGTCTTTAGAGAATCGCCTTCGAATCAACAAAAAGTTTATTTTGGTATATTCGTATTACAATTTACGTATTCGTAATCTCTGGACGAAACGATTAGACAGTGAGACGCAGAACGAGAGAGATAGATGATGAGAATAAGCAACGAAGCAAGCGAGGGTGGAAAGGAAAAAAAATAACACAGCGAGCAATAATGTGAAAAGGAGAAGGAGAGAAACGCAAGAGCTGATACCATATAATCAACGAAAATGACTGACATTTTCACTTTTCAAAACACATAGCAGAAGAGCAGCCAGTTACAGGTAGATAGTGTGTTTAGTAATGGTAATGGTGTAAAATGTCTTTAAAAAAACGTCCTTAAAAATGTCCTTTTCAAAACGTTTCCGACTTTTCGGCCTTGAAAAAATATCCTTCACAGTAAATATCCTTGGTAAAAATATCCCTGAGAAATGGTCCTCAGTAGTATCGTCCTTTACAAAAATGTCCTCCACTATCCACATGTTCTTTCAGGAAAACATGCACAATGCTTGGTGATAATTTTAATCATGTAACTTATTTTATTATAATCGATTAATTTTAATTTTATTTTTGATTCACAACAAAAGAAGAAAGTCTCAGAAATAATTCTTGAGCCGTAATTTGGTTATTGTTAGATGTAGGACAGTTCGGTAAAAGTTCTGATCTGAGGAACTGTTCAAAACGTTCTTTGATACGAACTAATCTGTTCAAACAGTTCAGCTCAGATCACAAGAACTGTTAAAACAGTTCCTCTCATATGAGCTGAACTGTACACACACATAAGTTCACTGCTACGAACTGAGCGAGCCGTGGTTAATGAGCTTAGCATAACTTTTTAAGCGCTATCTAGGAGTTCTATTCATAACTTTTAAAGGGTTAACTTGAGGCACTATCTGTAACTTTTTAAGGGCTACCTAGGAGTTAGCCATTAACCTTAATTTAAAATTAAGCCTTGATTGACGACTTAACTATTAGTATTAACAAAAAGAACACATAACAGACACCACTTAACTTGTTGATATTATATTTAAGTTTTTCTGGTTAACACTTTATTCACATCAAATTAAACTTAAGTGATTGCGTTAGGCAAATGTCATTTAATTTCGAGTTTTTCTCTGCTCCAGTACGGACTGAACTTGATGTTGTTTGAGCCCTTTAAGAGAGAATCCATGTTAATCCCAAGATTGGCTAGACAACACCATGCTGAGTCCGTACTGTAGCAGAGAAAAACTCATAACTAAATGGTATTTTCCTAATGCAATCAGTCAAGCTGAATTTTAAGCGAATTAAGTGTTAAATAAAAATATCTAAATTAATATTAACGGTTAAGTGGTGTCTGTTTGTTCTTTTCATTAATACTAATGATGAAGCTGACAGTCAAAGCTTGTTTTCAAACTATGGTTAACGATCAATTCCTAGATAGCTCTTAAAAAGTTACAGGTATCACCTCTAGGTAGCCCTTGAGAAATTATAGATAGCTTGTTAATCTGAGCCTAATCAGCTCTTAGAACTGAACTGATCTGTTGAAACAGTTCTTTTGATCGAGACTTATCTTTTTGAACCGTTCTTTAGCTCATTTGATCTGAGCTCATGACGATTTTAGATATAATAGACACTGTTTAAGGGCTATTATCCTAATACTTTATTAGTATAAGCTAAATCGTAACTATACTGTGTTTTTCCCGCTCCTTATATGCTATTTCTTAGCATAGAAGGACCTTGAAGAATACAGTAAACACAATAACTGAAAAGTACGAGTTTAAGGATAAATTCTAAGAAGAGCAAAGATTAGGTTACACTATGTATGGGAGAAGAACACATCAAGAGTATGATTCCAAAGTACATGTAACAGAAGAAAGAGATAAGTGTAACAGATGGAAAAGACATTGCAGTTATTCCTTTTATGGATACGGCTATGTACCAGAGCAGAACAAAATACTAGTGTCATTCCAAAGTACGTATAGAAGAAGAACGAACGGGAAAGAGCATTGCGGTCATTCTTATTATGTAGGAGAGACGGACAAACTAATAGTGCCAGTACAAGGTATAGAAGTATGGATAGATAACAGATAGAAAAAGGCATTGCAGTTATTTCAATCGAGGAAAAGCAACAACCTACACGTTAGGTTCGGTTGTTACAAAGCTGTCCTAGTTCTATTCGATATCAACAGTAGAATAGTTTTCTTTCTTTTGTTGTTGTTCTTATAAGCAAGCCATATCCTTTGCAAACAATTCAAGAGAGAACTCTCTTCTTATAGAAGTGATAGCGACATATCATATATCTAACACTTTCTTATCAGTATTACTTTTTGTTTGTCTCTTCTTAAAAGATAGAGCGGTCTAAGACATTTCTAGATGCGTCCAGTCACTCTTGGAACTATTCAATTTAGTGATATTCCACTTGAAACAATTGCATCAAAAGCTCATCAATGGGGTTATGATGGTCTTGAACTTGGTGGTCAACTCGATATACACAAGGCTTCGATCGATCTGAATTATTGTGAACAGATTCGATCTATCTTGAAGGCAAACAATCTACAACTACATGCATTCTCAGCACATTTAGTTGGTCAAGCCGTATGCGATCATATCGACGAACGACGACATCGGCCTATTCTACCGGCACATGTATGGGGTGATGGTCAACCTGAAGGTGTAAAAGAACGAGCTGCTAAGGAAGTTATTGCTGCTGCGCATGCCGCCAAAAATTTAGGCATTAAAATTGTCACTGGTTTTACTGGATCAAGTATTTGGCATCTACTCTACGGTTTTCCGCCTATTAAAGATGAACAAATCAATGAAGGCTATCAAGATTTTGCACAACGATGGATACCTATTCTTGATGAATATGAAAAATGTGGAGTAAAATTTGCACTTGAACCTCATCCCAGTGAAATTGCTTTCGATATTGTAAGTGCAGAACGAACACTTGCTGCAATCAATAATCATTCATCGTTTGGCTTTAACTTTGATCCATCACATTTGGCTTATCAAGGTGTAGATTATATTGGCTTTTTACGTCGATTTAAATCACGCATCTTTCATGTTCATATGAAAGATGTGGGTTTCGATTGGAATCGTCCATGTGAAGCTGGTGTCTTTGGTGGTCATACAAAATTTGGTGATCCACGACGATTTTTTAATTTTCGTTCATTAGGTCGAGGCAATATCGATTTCGAAAGTATTATTCGTACACTTAACGAAATCGATTATCATGGTCCATTATCTGTTGAATGGGAAGATAACGGTATGGATCGAGAGTGGGGTGCTCAAGAAGCACTTAATTTCGTGCGTCGACTTGATTTTAAACGAGGCGATCAAGAATTCGATGTAGTGTTCGGTCAAAACTAAAAATAATATTACGAGTTCTATTTCAGTTTTTCGTTTAGGGTGTGGGTGGGTGTGGGTGTGGGGTGTGGTGTGATTGTGGGTGTGGATGCGGATGTGGATGTGGGTGTGGTGTGATTGTGGGTGTGGGTGTGGATTTTCTATTCTTTGGTACTCACACTCACACCCCATACCCACGCATACCCACACCTCTTTCAAGCTGATTCTGCTGTTCTTGATATGCAATTCTATACAGGCAAACAGTTGCCTGATTGATACAAGAATGGAGCATTTGTTGCTATGCATGCTTCATGGAATAGACATACTGCAACCGGCTACAAACTAACTTTCATTACATTCAACAGCCAGACAAATTAATCCACGAGTTATTATGAAGATTTTGTCACTGAATTTTTAATAAATGTATTTAGATCAGCCACTTTCTGACGAGCAATTGGATAACTTGTATTGAAGGATACGAATCTTCTATTTAGTGAAGATGGTAATGATCGACTTGATCAAATCTAATACAACCATGCGATGTGCAGCGGCTATCAGTAGATATCAATTGTTCGTAACTTTTCTTTATTTTTCCATTCGCTAATAAACACATGTTTTGATCGTTGACGAAACACCTAAGATTTCTATTGATTTAAATCCAATTGAATGAAGTTTATTTCGAATTGATTTTATTGATCAACAGATCATTTTCATTTCATTGCAATGGACAAAGACGCAAAGATGTTCTCTGTTGATTAATTAGTCCTTAGAATGGTTCATCTTGTCTAGACCTTTTGATGTGAAGAAAATTTGCTTTTGACATTAATAGCCTCGTTAACAATATTGAATGATCGAGAATTAACTTCATTCACAGAAACGAAAGAAAATATAGCGTGAGTTTTTAATAAAAGGAATCAAAGAAGATACACTATAGAGTTCTGTATATATTATTGTAAATAAATCTATTTCGTAGAGAACTAACTTGATTTAATAGATTTTTAAAAATTTTTCATGGAAATATGAATAATTTATAACGCTATCTTATATATAACCTATAAAAGGAATTCTCAATGAGTTAAAAAATATATTTTGTTGAAAAATTCTTCGTTTCAAGCTCATTCATCGGTGACAAATTCATATAAATATATAAAAGGCCAATAATAGAATTATTTTATTTTTGTTGTATTTTTTATTTGTTGAGTTATTTGATAGACTATGTAAAGAAAGAAAGAGAAAGGAAGAGAGATGTCTAAATAAACAAAGTGCAGTAAAACGTAAAATAGTGAAAAAAAAATGCCATAAAGAGTATACGTTCGAGTAAAAATAGAATCAATGTAACTACGTAGATCAATCAAATATGATCTTGAAATGAAAAAGAAGCAGAAAAGTTTGTTTCTTTTTTTCTACGTCGATCTATAAAACAAGTTTGTATTTGATGACTGTGTTTATAACAATTTTTTTTCAAGAAAAATCATTTATCAATAATAATCAAAATGGCGAAACTTGAATCACCAACAACTGAAAAGTTAGATGAACATTTATTCTAAAACTATATTTTATTTTATTTTATTTTGGATATTTAGTTTAACTAATCAAGACCATCATGATATTGATGATGATGATGATCAATTGAATTCATCAGATAAAATAGTCCCAACTATAGATGAACCAACTACATCAGGTTAGAAAAATATTTATGATTTTTTTTTTAAATAAATTATTGATTTAGAAACTACACAATTGTCAAATGACTCTTCGAAAGCAATGGTTTTTCTTTTAATAAAATTTTATTTTGTTTTTATTTTATCTTATTTTTAGATAAATTCATCAAACACTAATTATGATCTACAAAATTTAATTAGAAATGATGTAAAAAAATACATAAATACAACAATTCCACAAGATCATTCAGGTTTTATTCAATGTCATATAAAACGTGAAAGAGAAGGTATTACAAAAGGCTTTTCAACAACATTTACTTTATATGCTGATGGACAAAATGAAAATGATAAAGTATTTTTATAAATAAAAATCAACGAAAATTTTTATTTGAACTTTTCTTCTTTTTAAGGTTTTTCTTTTAATTGCACGAAGACACTTAACAATTGGTCGACATTTAGAATATTTTATTGGAACTAATGCTGAAACAGCAAAACATCTAAATGATGAAAATTCAATTGCAAAATTAAGGGGAATTAATATTTCTGGTACTGAATATATACTTTATGATCATCAAAATACTCCATCTAACGAACAAAATAAACAACAATCGGCAGCTATTCTTTATGTGAGTTATGACAAATTATTTTTATTTTTTATTAGAATTTTATTTGATAATCTAATCAGAGAGAACATTCTAAATTAAAATTTTTATAATAAGAATTTTCCTTGTTTAATATTAATAGTTTATCACACATTTTGGTTAAAAATCAATACATTTAATTAATCTAAATTTTAAATGATAAATTTTTTTTTTTTTGTAATTTCGAATAATTGAATAAACAGATTTTCTCACATCAATGAAAATGAATGGTCTGTAAAACTACAATTTCGTTCGATTTAACCAAAGTGTAGAACTCAGACCATTTATTTGGTTTTTGCAGAAATCGTACTCTGGTAAAGTCATGATTTACACGACTTATAAAATCGAATAAATGCTATAACTTCTGTAGAACAATCAAATCATTTGAAACTTTACTTCTACTTACCGCAGTTTTTGCAAAATATTTTTCTATGGATATCGAAATATTTATTTGCTCCTCACTGGCTACTAAAATTGTTCAATAATTACAGTTCACATAAAACAAAGTTTACCAAACATGAAAAAAGAGAAGATACTGAATAAACTAGAGGAAGGATAAGTACAAGTATATCTACGCATGTATTTGTTCTTGTAATTATGTAGAAAAGATGTACTTGGTGCTATTACGTGAGGTATAAAGAAAATAAATTCTCAACTATAATCTTGTTTTTAGATATGGTTAGAAATCAATGAACTGAAAAATAATTGAAAGTAGAATGTGAGACATAACCTGAAACTTATGATAATCGATTTAATATTATTGAGTTATTCTCGAAAATTTCAACGAAATCAAAAGATGCTCCAATTAGACAAAAGACATCGTTTTGCATGTCAAATAGAAATACAGAGTACTTTTTTCATACTTAAGTGTATGTATGGAAAGTCCCAGTACAAATCATTTCGTCCTGCTCTATTAAGAATTAAATCAAATGAAACTGTTATATGATAACCTTTTGAAAGCAATGAAAACCTAAAAGATTAAAATTAATAGTATTTTCTGTTGCAATATAATATAAATGTTCTAGGATGAACATATATTTGGATCAATAGAACCACGAAAATTAATTATTTTATTGGCTGATACAGAGAAACACATTCGATTATTAAAAGTAAATATGTTTTATTTGATTCTTATTTTTTATATTGTGTTTAATTTGATTTATTTTCTTATTGAAGGAAGGTGAAACGATTATTAATGAATATCGAGCAGGACGTGCAACTGATTTGATTGAACTAAAAAATAAAACACCAACATATGATGAAGGTTAATCAGTTTGAAAATTTAGTTTTTCTAAAATATTTTTTTTTTTTATTTAGAATCTAAAACATATCGTCTTAATTTTAATCAAAATCGTGTAAGACAACCATCGCATAAGAATTTTCAGTTGATTCGTTTAACTGGAGATCGTACGTTTTTTTTTAATCAATGACAGTTTTTCCAGGTTTTTATTTTTATTTTTTTATCTAGAATCAGAATATGTTGTTATGGAATTTGGTCGTATTGATGACAATAATTTTGCCCTCGACTATCGACATCCTCTTACAGCTATTCAAGCATTTGGAATTGCATTAAGTGCTTTTCATAACCGATTTCTTGCTTAATTTTTATTCGTTCGATTAATCAAGCAAAACTTTTTATTTATTATTATTCGAACATTAATGTGGAAAAAGAAATTTTATTTAATCAAATGTATTCATTTAATAATCTAGATGGTTTTTTCAAAAATTCTCAAGAGAGAGTGAACTTGCTTAGTTTTTTATAATGTTTAATAATATTAGAATATAGTATGTTTGAAAAATTAACTTCATGATGGAATAAAAATATGATGACTAAAATGAAAACGATGAGTTTTCTAATGATGACATAGACATTATTTTGCATGTTTTTCAGGATTATTGATGATTTTCAAACTTTTAATTCATGAAAATGATTAATTTCACATCAAGATCACGATAAGCAAAAGATGAAAATGTTTTTACCATTTGAGTCTGCTGCAGAATCAGATGAAATAGATTCATTTGGTCTTTTTTTCAAAGATCAGGCTGTTCAACCTGTAAGAGGCTGCGTAGTAAACGTTTGAAAATTTCATTTTACTTGATAACCATTGTAGAGTAGCAAATGTTTAGCGTAAGTTATTTAACATTTGCTGTTACAAAAGGCAAGGCATAGCATTCTTCTCGTTTTTAGGGGTAGATGTGAGTGCGGGTCTTGATAATCATACTGTAGGCACGCCTACATCCACACAGATATCCTCATTAGATTATAAGAATGGAAGTTTTGAACAATTAATAGTCTTTTTATTGATCAGTCTACAATACTCATTGTATTTTGATATGACTACGAATAGTTGTAGTTAATACAATACTTTAGCTAATATATTACCAAGTTTTGGAACATGTAGAAAAAACTCCTATTAAACATGTGCCGATAAAATTTTGCTAAAAATTGTCATCGTAGAAGCTTGCATACAATTCAGAAGTTCAATGAGATAAATTCTAATTATCTTAACAGAAATATAAAGTAGACCTCTGATTATGAAATAAAAGTCTCTTATTGATAACAGATACATAATTCAACTCTCATAAATTTTATTATAATCAAAATATTCTACCATCTCACACTACTTTTTTTTGCTTTGATCGAGTCCGATAAACGTTGATCTTTATAACATGTGTAGAAATATATAATAACAAATAAAGAACCTAACGGAATGATCTGATTACATGTCTAATACCGAGTCCACAGCTCTTCAACAACTATCTTCAAACAGTACATATGCACATGCATTTTTTAGATCGCAAAAGAAATTGATACGTCCATTACTAGAAAACATATGCTACACAAAAGAGATTACATTGATAAACAGCTATAATTGACTAGTGAGAAGCAATGAGCTAATCTATCCAATACCTCATACTGTTTGTTTTGTGCTCAGGTTGGATACAGAAAGCTTTTCTTATGTCAAAAAATTATACCCTTGAGACTGTGCTTCTATTCTGTGGAGAAGTTTATATATCTGAATAATTAATATAACATTGAATCGGTATTTCTACTTTGTGAAACTGTTCAAGTCTTCAATCAATCATACAGCTATACCCTCAAGTATATTTGAAAAAACTTGAATGATAGCAAATTCCATTTGCTCATTGTGACAAATTGTCCGGCAAAGCTGATTTTCATATTCTAAATGTAAGATCTTTCAATGGATCAGATGACGCTCATTTTTTTATAATGCTTGTTTGTTTGATTTTATCAATTGTTTTTATGCATAATGTTAAACGATTGTGTCCTTCACACCGAAAATCACGAGCATTTAACCAATCTTGTCCGAAATTTTCGAAGAATTAGAGAAAATACACCCAATATTTTACTTATATATTGATTACCAAATTTAGCAAATAACTATTTGTATCTTTCAGAAAGTTTAAATTAATTGAGCGTTCAATAATCTCACTTAGCATTTAAGTATTTCTACTTACAATATTACCAACTATGAATTCATAAGATATTCTTTTTATTTAGCATATAAACAGCCAAAATATGCAAAAAAATGAATTTGATGCATTAAAAAATTCCGTAACCAAGGAGTTCATCATAATTTGGACATCGACAAAAACAAGCCGTTGAGGACCAAATAAACAATGCTCGATCCGAACCCTTTGTTGCTTCACACGATTTTTCGCAATCAGCTAGAGTTTTAGGAGCATTGGGATTCTAAAAAACAAAGCGCGAAAAGAATGTATTACAACGATCAAAGTGAAACATATGATGATGAACGTTAAGTAAATAAACAAATCACATGATTCTTTGTATACATTGAAAACCGTGTAAACAGACAAGGAAATATATCTCAGAAAACCTGAAAAACTGGACGTCATCTATCAATATTCAATTGAGTTAAGACACAGAATTCTATTGAATAGAATATTCTATTTGTTGCATGCGCATTCACTATGAAATGGGATCTTATATTAGATAGAAACCCATATCATAATTCTATTATATATGTGTCAATGAATTAGGCATGCAAAAAAGAATTTTGAATAGAACAGTACATAGATATTAAAAGATTGATTGAGAAATTTTTTTTTGAAACTTCAAATTTCCTTGCACAATTCTATGCTTCTTATTATCTGGTAGTTTCTCATTTCAAGCTGCTGTAAAAATTCTAATACTTACTCTCCATGTATAGAATGACAAAATTGTGCGAGATTTAGCATTGATATATTTTTTGTCACACATACATGAAGGAATCGGTTCTGTGTTGTATGAACAAAACTGCACACAATCATCGTACGTCTCCTTATCGTGAACGTAAGCAGCACATGCTTCCATGCAAGTACAGGCCGAAGAATTAAAGAGAAGACTTGTATCAGCAGCACTTTTAAGTGTAATTATTAGGATAATATAAAGCAAGAGCAATGCAAGTAAAAGTCGCATGATAATGTCCTTATTCGCTTGTGGTGTAGTGAATGAAAGAAAAAAATGCGTAATTCATTCACTTCTTTATTAGTTAGTTTTTGTCTTTTGTATTATGATAAATATGTGACACTCGTTTGATTGAAAATAAGAAAAAAGGCAACATCTGTTTTAAATCGTCATATCTATTGTCTCTAGAAGAAATATTCTCATCAAGAAATTAATACTTGTCTATTAGAACTGTATAATGATGTGAAATCTTTTGAATATTACATTCTCTATGGATTTAGCAACAAATTGTGCAATGAATGTGTGGGTGGCATGGGTATACTCTTCTGCTTGCCCACACCCTTCTCATCCACTTGGTCAAACTCACCCTCACCCAAAGTTTTATTGTTGATTAGAAGACATTTTCATTTATATCAAGATGGGTAAGTATGAAGAAAGATAACTGCGTCATATAGTTCATGACTTTTGATAAGATCAGATGATGTAAGCTATTTAGTTTTGAAAGAAAAGTAACAAAAAAAAGAATAATAATATAAGATCATCATGTAATGCTATTCTACATTTCAATGAATTTATTGCTAAATATGAAGATTTATGTTCTTTTGTTTATTTTCAAATAAACAGAATAGATAGACAGAATTTTTCTAAACAACAGAATATTCATTTATGAATGACACCAGTTACTTGACTATCATACTTATATAAATTATAATTTCTTTTATATTATTCATTGATATCTATTGATAAATTTGAAGCATTGAGTATCATTTTATTTGTATAATTAAAATAAATTTTTGAAAAACAAAATGATCACATTCAACATCATCATTATTTATTGTCTATTGTCTTTTTACACATAAGATAATCAGAAATTGACTTTCTTATTAGACGAATATTAAATCATAACAAAGAAAATTATTATTTTATATACCTTTTAATATGAATTATATATAAGGAAAATGCATATTCATTAGAGAAACTCATAGAACAAACTATGTTTATATAATTGAGTAAAAAAAAAAATTTTTTCATTTAATCTTTTATAGACATAGTTAAGATATAAAAAACAACTTGTTTCTTTTAACCAATGAACAGTGATGAGGCATAGAACACGTACAAGAATGAATACTTATATTTAAACTAAGCTGCAGCTTTTTGTGCTCAATAACGTCGCTGTCTAGCCATTATTTCAGCCAAACATCGAGCTCGAAACCAATCCTACATGTAGACAAGAGATGTTAGTGTCGATTAGACTTATGTCAGAGAAATGTACTGGCTTTCAAATCGTAACAATCCGAATCATTCTTGTCCCATTGTTTTGAAGTTGATCGACAGTGGAATGTTTATTCATTATATAATCTAGTGTTAGATCATAAGATATTGACAAGTATAGTAATATAGAATAAATATACTTACATTGACGTAAATATTCAAATTGTTCATTGGTTAGTCTCTCTTTCAGTTTTTTCCATTTCTAAATAAATAGAATATATTGATATACTATGATAAAAAAAAAACTCAAATTCAAAAGAATCCAAATGCATTACAAGTACAGTTACGTCTTGACATAATTTACTATTAGTTTTTATCATGTATGTCGAAAAATAGATTAAATCAATGAACATTTTACTTTGTTGCTCAGATTTATAAACTTCTGTTAACATACGAAATGTCTTGTTTTTAAATTATCCTTTCTATCGATGTTGTGCATTGTCAGTATGTTGAAAATAGCATGATTATTTCCATGGACGAAACAATTGATCGAGATAGAGATGATTCGACTAAAAATCTCTCGTAGAACTTGTTCTCTTCTTATAATAATCAGTCATTAACAACTTTTTATCAGTGTAGAAAACAACTACCATACTTTCATTTTGTCAAATATAGACTTTGATTTATATTTTTGCTCACATATGGTCACAATTCCTATGTAAAATAGATATAGACATACGGATCAAACTAACTTTTAATGCATTGTATCATAAGCAGAGTGTATTTCTCAGAATTATCTCATAATTTAATACCTCACCATTGACACATTATTACTTAAATGTACTGAAAAAATACATATTTGAATCATTAATGGATAAATATATAAAAATCAAAAGAAATACATAGTTACTATTGAGTTCAAGTCAATTAATCGAGAAATAAACTTTTCTTCTTCGAAAAC